AGTAAACCTTGTGACATACTGTTGACTGAATAATCATTGAGATATATCTGCTTTATCATAACTTGTGAAAAATTACATACTCTTGCACAATATGAACTCTAAGGTAGATGTCCAAATGTGGGATGGCAAAGGAGACTTTAGTCTCTGGCTTCAGAAAATTAAAGCACTGTTGTTACAGTTAAAATGTGCTAAGGCTATTGATGAATCTTGGCCAGAAACCTTATCTGAAGCTAGGAAAACTTAACAAGATGAATTAGCCTGGAGCACTTTATTCCTACATCTGTCTGATACTGTGATTAGGAAAGTAGGAGAAGCTAAAACTGCTGAAGAATTATGGACTGCCTTAGAAAAACACTACCTTGCAAAGACTGTGCCAAATAAATATTTTCTTTGGAGACATTTTTTTATTTTTAAGTTTGATCCTAATCTTGATACGGGAGATAATATGGATAGGTTTAATAGGATCACACAAGACTTAGCAAATTGTGATGAAAAAATTTCTGATGAATAGAAGGTAGTTGGCCTACTTAATGCTCTAGGAGATAAATATAAAGATATTAGAAATACTCTAGAGTATGGTAGGAGTGATCTCACTGTAGAAATAATTCACAGTTCTCTTCTGAATAAATAACTTGAATTAAAATCTGAACACAAAGATGTGTACCATGTTGAGGGTATGTCATCAAATCAAAACCATATGCTAAAGGTGTAAGTAACATCACTCATTTCAATTTTAACAAGAATAAAATATTTAACAAAAGACAATGGAATAACACCAAAGGAATAGACAAGAAACCAATCAAAGGAAAGCCAAACAACAACAATAACAGAAAATGTTTTTACTGTGGAAAAACAGGCCACTTTATTAAAGACTATTTTAAAAAGGCAAATGACCAAAAGAATGAGTTTAATACTGAAAATGCTTCTTTAGCTGTTGCTGCTAATTATAAAGCAGGAGCAAATATTGGAGTAGCCTATGCATCTCTATCTGAGAATACTGATCAGGACTGGTCCTGGATTCAGGATGTTCCTTTCATATGACACCCAATATTAGCTGCATTTCAGAATTTTGTAGTCTGGATGGAGGATTTGTAGAACTTGGGAATGATGAGTCATGTCAAGTTAAGGGAATTGGAAATGTGCAGTTGAAATTTAACAATGGTCATCACATGTTATTAAAAAACATAAGATATGTACCAGCACTTAGAAGGAATCTCATATCCCTACGAGTTCTTGATGATGAAAATTTCCAAATTGGTATTAAAAATGACTTTACAAATATAACAAGAAATCAAGAACTCATTGTTAGTTCTCCTAAGCGTAATGGAATCTATGTAATAGGTGCTGGAATAATTTCACCAATAAATTCTGTGAATTCTGTTACACGTCCCGATAAATCAGAACTGTGGCATAAAGACTTGGTCACTTAAGTGAAAAAGGTTTAAAACACTATCATGTCAAAGGGCATTTGGGAAAGATAGTGTTCAAAAATTGACTTTTTGTGAACATTGTATCATGGGAAAACAAGTCAGACTGCCTTTTAAGGCATGACTGCACAAATTCGAAGATGTCATTGAATACATACATTCTGATTTATGGGGACTTACACCTATTTCTACAGTATCTGGTTACAGATTTTATCTTCTTACAACCGATGACTATTCAAGAAAGACATGGATTTTCTTACTAAAATCTAAATCTGATACTTTTGCAATTTTCAAAGAATGGAGTGTACTAATTGAAAATTAGACTGGTAAGAAGATACAAATTTTAAGAACTGATAATGGCCTTGAATTCTACAATATCGAATTTGACCAATATTGCAGTAAACAAGGGATAATGAGACATAAAACTGTGAGCTATACTCCACAACAGAATGGAGTTGCCGAGAGGCTTAATAGGACAATTCTTGAAAGGACCAGATGTATGATAATCAGTTCTGGCCTTTCAAAAATTTTCTGGGGTAAAGCTGTAAAAACAGCATGTTATCTTATAAATAGATGTCCTTCCAGCTCTCTAAATAACAGAATTCCCGAACAAATCTGGTCTGGTTCAATGCCAGGTTACTCTCATCTAAGAACTTTTGGTTGTGCAGCTTATGCATATCATATTGAGTCAAAACTGGACCCTAGATCATTAAAGGGTGTGTTCTTAGGGTATAGAGAAGGTGTTAAAGGCTATAGATTGTGGTTAAGAGATGTGAGGGGTTATAAGGTGATAACAAGCAGATATGTTATCTTTAATGATGATGATTTCCCTTGTCTTAGCGACAAATCTGGTGAAAAATTGATCAATTTTTCACAAATTTTGAGAAGTGGCTTCCATGAGAAGTTACATTTGAATAATGTTTCTCGACATTTCATATGGAATTCTCGACATTTAAACATCATTTCAT